GCTCTTAATGCCTCAGACCAAACAAGGCATGATGAGATTGTCCATCCTATTTTTGGCAACTGCTGCATTTTTTTTTTCCCTTTTTGTGGTACTGTTTATTCCCTTTACTGGTCTTTTTTTTCCTCCACCACTCAGTTAATGAATTTTCCTTTTCCTTACACCAAGCTGCTACATACTGTCTATTACTTCTTCAAGTCACATCTGCTTCCCCCACCCACTGTGTCCCCTGAAACTTTGTGATCTCCTGTACAAATCTTCCAATCCCCCTTCTCTGCTTTGCCATTTCTGAACATCATTTTAAATCATCTGTTGCCATCCAGCATGAAATGGGTTCTGCTGGCAGAAGGACACAGCAGCTTTACCGAATGTGCTCAGGTTGCCTGAGATTGCTTGATAACAAAGAAATTGCAATTTCTGATAGGTAATGCCTTCAGATGTTAAGTCTGGGACAGCCATGGGGCAGAAAAGTCCTTCAAAAAGGCACATTCCCTTCTATTTATCACTAGCATCAAACACTGTCTGTCCAAGGTACCAATGAACCCAGTTTGCTTTTACCACAATCTCAGTGCATCTTGGTGCTCTATTGCTTAAACATTAAAAAAAAAAAAAAAAAAAAAAAAATAAATAAAATTACGTTATGTATTTGCTTCATTTAGAAGATACAAATTCAACAGCAAGCACAGAAAAATCTTTTATGTTGTAGAGTTATAGACAGGAAAAGGCAATGAAGTACATCTTATTATATTCAGTGTTTATTTTTACATTGAAAGCTATTGCTGCTTCTTCCTGATATTTTTGCTGGCAATAATAGGGAAAAATTGTTTTATTACACAAATTATGTACTTCTATCACAGTGTTTTAAAATGAAAATAACTTATATAAAAGAGACTTTCAGTCACTCTATATAGGCAGATGAAAATTGGTTTGAGTGAATGCAGGTAATGGTCACAGTGATTTGCATGGGAGCAGGTTTAATATAAGTCTAGGCACTGTTTACTTTAGTTATGCTTTCATAACTGTTGGACAAGAGGAATGAAAAAATGCTGTAGTACACGGTGAATAAAATCAAAAGCCAAATGCTTAAGGCATGGATTTTCAGAATTCTAGTCAGTTAACAAACTGTTTTAATGAGATGTGGCACTCTAATTCCCTTTAAAAATGCACTTTAATTCCCTCTAAAAACCCTAAACCCCACCCTAAGCTGGTATTTTTTCAGTCTTCAAGCAATAACAGTTATCGGTAATAAGTTAATATTGCTATTGACATCAATGGGAGGAAAAAGTGTGAGGAAATATTAAGACTGTAGACAAATAAATATCTTGTATAATTATTCTATTTTGGGCATCTTTCATTGCAATAAGTAGGTTAAGCTTTTCAATGCTAATAGCTAATACAACATCCATCATAAAGATTCCTTCATCTGAAGTCATCAGACAATGAAATTTGCTCTCCCTGTTTATCGGAGAGCAAGCCACTTGCTATAAAATGTCTGAGGTGAAATTGTTTCTTTTTACTCATAAAGTGTAGCTCTTGCACAGACAGTTGAAAAGGTGCAGAATATTATAGTCCTGTGTTTAATTGTTTCTGTATGCCCCGGAATTTAAAGAGAATTTAGGATGTGTTTGGCAGTAGCTTTCTCTCTATAATCAGGTTGCTATGGTAAACCTATTATTCTAGACAAAGAAAGAGTATGTTTAGTAAAGTGCTGATCTCTTTTCAGCATAATGTGAGCTTCAAATTACTTTTGAATGATTGAATTTGTATGGTAAGTATTTTATCACAATAACTAAGAGAAGAAGGTCACAGAATAAGGTGTGGCTTCTGTTATTTCAGTAGCAGATATATCTGACAAAGTAGTAGTATGACTGAAGCAAGCTTACCCTGCAAATATTTTATCCTTGTTTTCCTAGGGAAGCAATCCAAAATTTATAGTTACAGAATACTATTAATTTTTGCATTTATCTATATGGTGATAAACTGAGTCTTTAAAGTTTACATTTACTACATCCTATGTAGTTAGCTGTTCAGAAGCAATAGGACTTCAATTCTCTGTTATATTATCTCCACAGAGTGAGCTCACCTTACATAATCTAACCAAAATCTCAGTACTTTTGGAAGTAAAATATACTTTGTAAGCCAGTACAGAGTTGCAATTATTTAGTGCTACCACTAAATTCACTTCTCATGTTCCTAGTGCTGATTTTGTCACACTTGTAAAAGAAAAGGAATGATGAACTAATAATTTGAGTATCAATTTCAGAGGCAGTGTACTAAACTATTATAACTGTATCTTTGAATATTTAGTAGTAAAGAAATGGCTCAGAGAAACCCTTTACCAGAACACTTACTGACTGAGGTTTCTGGCCATTTTCAAGACACTTTCAGTTCTGAGATCTGCAATCAGATGATCTAAATCATAACCCGAATTTAGGTGGGAGCCAGCCAAAATAAAATATGAGACACAGATATCAACAAGGATTTGGGGCTTTTTGAATATATGTATTGGTGTTTTATTCATTAGCTAAGATAAAAAGACTGAGAAAGGTCTAAATCCCCTTTGTGCTTGATTTTGAGAAGACAATCTGAGCTTGTATTTCTTACATGACAAAAATGTGCCCTATCTGCCAAGGAATGGGATATTCTTCTTTTTTTGGAAAAAAAAAAAAAAAAAACAAAAACAAAACAAAAAAAAAAACCTGTTGCACATTAACTAAAATGAATAAATATTAATTGCAGCAGGGACTGAGAGGAACCTGTTCCTATTCCAGTGCAAGTGCCCAGCCACTAGGCTCTCAGGTCATTCTGACTTATTAAATTAAGCATTACAGAAGGCAGTGCTTAATTACAGAACATGCAGGAGCCTCATTACAGAACCTTCCTTTGCTCATCTCTCTGGAGGATTTCCCATCTCTGCTGACTCCTCTCTTCAAAGCAACTCGTTTAAACTGATTTTATTGTCCTTCAGGCATCCTCTTTACTATAGCATTAGCTGGCCAGGATACCACTGTTAAAGGTGGTTCTTTTGCTTATTTTAGAGAGTCTTCACAACAGATGGGTCCTGTTCATCAGGTACCTGTCTGCCCACAGGTGACTGATTGTGTTTTGGGACACTGCGATGTGACATTTTTGTAGAAGTAGCCAGGTTGTCTGAGGTGGATGCATAAAAAGAGACTGTGAAAGCCCCAAATAGTTACAAGTTGGACTCTTTAAAAGTCTATGTATATTTAAGTACTAAGGGATGATTTTTCTTCCAGTTTCTAATGTAGCTTTTCTTGGCAAATAATTATAGCTTAGAAAATGAAGGCAGATAACATCAGTCATTCTCTAGACAATCATATCTTAAATATTGACATGATTACCAAATACCACTATATTTTGTGAGGTGGTAGATGCACTTCCTATAATAAGTTTCTTTCTGGAATGAATATCCTCATATAATTGTCAATGCAACATAGTTTTAACACTATGTGTATTATAAAGGTATCATGAAGTATTTGCTGTTAATTCTATAAGCATGTTGTTTTTAAGATACTTGCACTTTAAGTGATCATAAAATGTCGTCCTAGATTGATTCCTGGCACACAGAATGTCAGCTCGAAATTGCAATGTACATTGATGCTTGGGAAGATGAAGAGTATGGCAGCTATAAAATCATCTGCGATTTTTTTCCATCAGTAATATGATCCCCCCCCCAGCTTAATTAGACAGGGTTTTTTTGAAAAACAAATGTAACAAATTTAGGTTAGAGGTTGAAAAAAACCCCATAGATTAAGAATGATCTGTCAGCATGCTGACCTAAAATATTTTACTGTCACAAAACCTACAGTTAGCAATGGACCACTAAGGTTCTCAACAGCCCTTTCCCATTCAGCAAAATATTTCAGCAAATGCTGAAAAAATATTGCACATACTGAACTGTTTGGTTACATAATGAAAGGCTGCACTTGAAGGATTTTTTTGCTTTGTAGCTATAGTTTCTGTTACCGTAAATCTGGGTTCTGCAGTCAGTAGAGCAATGTCCAGGCCCAGGTTGACTCTTACTGATGTTGTGATTAAATTAGATCAAGAGGAACAGGCTTTTCTGCATCCTAATCCATGTCTCTGGTGGCCCTTTTTTACACAAAATATCCTTTCCCAAGCCCATCAAATGTATTACTTTGATCCATGGTTTGTGTCATATTTAGAGCGTTCTCACAGTAGTGTTGCATTAAAACAATTTAAAAAACACAGAGGCAAACTCTTACAAGGTAGGAAATAACAAAACAAATGTTACCCTGAACTGAATTTATCTCGTATATGTGCAATACAAGACTGTCCTTGATATTATTTTTCGCATCTGACCACTTAATATTCACTGCTCTGAGGGTTCTGGAGTGGAAGATCTGTGGGAGTTTAGATGAGTCTATTCCTCCTGTAAGCTCTGGGGAGTTCTCCTGTGAACAGGCTGATGGAGGGGATGACTGACAGAGGTTGAGCTTTCGACTTCTATTTCCTCGGGTCTAGACAAAAAAAATTATAGGGATTTTTGCTTTCCAAATGCCTCACAAAGTATTTGAAGACTTATGTTTCTACATAAGTAGAAAGTATCTTAGATAGCCCTGTGCATAGACTATTTAATTCTAATCACATTCATTCTGGTATTTCTGAGGTATGTGTTAAATATTTTAGATTAATTACAGTGGTTAATCATGCAGTTAAGCGTGTGCCATAGCTCTGTTATGCAAAGTTGAGATATGAAAAACATACAGTGCTAGTGATTGCTTATTGTTCCTGTTTCCACCAAGATATAACAGCGATATACATTGTTTCTGATTGCCATGGAGGGGTGTTAGTTGTGGTGTTTTGTTTTGTTTTTTAATAGAATTTTTGTGCGTACTTTAATTAATACAGAGTGACTTGTAGTTTGCATCTGGGGGTAGGATGTAGAATAAGTTCGGGGGTTTATTTAATTTATTTTACTTTACAGAAATCATGACTCTAACAATTGTTTATTCTTGCAGGGAGATGTGAATGTGGCCAATGCACTTGTTTCCCTCCAGGAGACAACAGAGTTCATGGCAAAAACTGTGAATGCGATGATCGACAGTGTGAAAATGTGGATGGTGATGTCTGTGGGGGTATGTGTTCACATTAATCTACTATAATCTAATATGTTATAGTATGATATAATATTATGATATGATCTAATAATATATTACAATATAATATAATATAATATATAAATCTTGACAATTTATAACTTTCTGTCCCCCTGATTTTATTACCTGATGTCACTATTATTGAGATAATTGAATAATTATTGACATAATTGATTAATTATAATAGATTATGGATTTTTATAAGAAACAAGCTCTATAAATACTTAATATGTTAGTGAATATTTATTTTAAAACTTCGGAAACACTAACAATGAAGTAGATTAAATACACCTAATAGCATAAATCTAAGTGCTGTTGTATACCCCAAATTCCATCAGTGTTCATTAAAGGATACAGACACTTAAAAGAAAACCTGAAAAATTAGGTAATTTTACTTTGTGTTTAGTACAGTTGCTCTTTTACTGAGAATGTTGTATTTTAACTGAAAGTAATAATGACTCGCAATACTTTTGAATATTTCAAATTCACTGACAGTGCTATGTCTGTTTTCTAAAAAAGTAGTGAAAAATTATTATGAAAGAATCTAAAATTATTAAGATACATTGTTATAGTAATTGTACGTGCAGATGGTTTATTTTAATGTTGACAGGGAAAACCTTTTTTTGATTTTTCAGTAATGTATGTTAGTGTTAAGCAGTATTTCAAGTTAGTTTTAAATATGTAAATGCATACGTACTATGTATGCATAGGTATTTTAAAAACAGGTGAGTAGTATTTGTCAAGAATGTCCTCTTTGTATACTTTAATATCTTTATTTTTTAAATGATTCTTAGTAGTAATAAAGTAGTTGGCATGAACAATGACATATTTTATTATATTACTTATTTCTATGTAAGAAAAAACCATATTGCTTCATAATCCTTGTCTACATAAAAAATTCTGACTGCAGGGAATATTTCTTCAAGGTGTCTGACATGCAGGATTTAGGCATATATGGAAAACTCTAGTTTGAATGTCTAACCAGCCATAATAATAGTTTATAACATTCAGTATAATTCAGTAATACAAATATGTAGAAAAATAATAATTTGAAATTTAAATTTGTATAAAGGACATAAAAGTAGATAAAATCACTGAAAAGCTGGGTCATATTTTTTATAAATTAAGTAGTTGGGAAACAGAATTAATCATCTTCCATGGTTAAAAATATCCCTCTGTTTATGTCATTCATATTTTACACTATTCTATAACAGTGCTTCAGTGTTAATACTGCTAACTATATTGCACATTTTGGAAATTGGACAAAAAATCCATTCTTCCTTATTAGGAAGGACACAGTGGTATTTTTAATTTTTGTTGTTGGATAGAGCACCTCACTTAAACGAATAACCACCTCAACACCTGAACTAGTGTCCGATATTTTACTGTGCAGGAGACAGTCTGGGTCACACTCTTACCTAAATAACTCTCCCCTTTAGTCTAACCACCTTTGTCTGAAGCGAATGGCAGAAATTAATTAATGAATTTAAAAACCATATGCTTTTAGATTATTTTCCAGATTTTGAAACGACAAATAGAAAGGAAAGTCAGCTCATGAACTTCTGAGTCAGTTGTAGTCTCAAGCTCAACTTTTCCACTTTCATTCAAGCTGATAGTTTATTTACTAATGATTCTCTGCAGGTGAAAGGAATTATATAGGAAAATGCAATTCAAGTGACTGTGCCCTGTTTGAAATTGCACTGGACAGCATCTGTCGACGGGACTTCAGAAAGCCCACCCTTTGATTTTTGCTGTTCCAGGGAGCTGAGCTTATTCCTAATTCTTTCCCCAAAATCATAGAATAAATGCCAAATCAGTAATCCTGTTGTCCTGGGATTTCTTGTATGTAAAAGGAGAGGAGGAAGAATGGCATAAAGTGGTGATTAAATCCACCAGGATCTGAGGTGACCTCTGAAGTGCCTCAAGGGAGACTAGAGCATTTTTGCTCACTCACAGCTGTCTGAACTTGGGGAAGTGAAGCTGTCTCTAGAATTTTAGTCTTTTCAATTAGAAGTCATGCCACTACTAATACCATACTCCAAAAACTGTTGGATTTCTGTAGCATATCTGCTGGGATTCAAGTGGTAAATAATTGGCAGATTATTTTTTCATATTCTTGATATTTTATTTCTTGTTCTGTCTATTGTATTTCTAAATGTAATTTGAGATATTTTTAAATCATTCTAGATTTGTTGTAGTCTACCCCTTGAAGCATGTTTCTATGTTGTTATTGTTGCATGATGCCATCCGCTTTCATTCTTTTATAGCCAAGAACTGGTTCTTCCCCTTCCTCTGTTTCTGTTCTCATGCCACAGAAGTGTTTCTTTGTTTGTACCTGTCTGGCTCTTCCATGTGAAGTGCACTGTGATTCCAATTAACAAACATAAATGTCTTGTTAATCATGCAGTTCTCTTCCATACACCACTTCTCTTGACAATTCTTGCTGAACTGCTCATTCCTTCCTCTTTCCTTCTCCTCTTTTCATTACTATTTTTCTACCACTGTTGCTACCTAGGCAATCACTGTCAGGACATAAGCCCTTGATAGTAACTCTGGCTTCAGAGAATTGTAAGCTGGACTCTGTGAATGTGCAGGGTCTGACAGTGAGCACTGAGTGCCTGTAAACACAAGAAAGGAAGACCAGTGTTTTCAGATTAAATACATGCTGAAATGAGAAATGTGAATGACAACTTAAATGATTTGAGTAAGAATTGTTACTGGCCTCCTCTGAGCAGCAGAGATTGATTAATAGCTTGCTTTCCAGACCAGCTGTCCATGTGACAGTAGAAAGACATGAGGCGAAAGATATGATAAATTAGGGTACAACTGAGTGAGACCCTATTACCATGTTTCTGCATGATCATAGTGAGTCATTCACTTAAAAATTCAGCTGTCTATCACTGCAGTACCAGGAATAGAGACATTACATCTCCACAAAGACAGAGGTTTCAGGAGGACTTGGCATAGATTCCACAGCACTCTATACTAGAAATGGATTCATAGAATCATAGAATGGTTTGGGTTGAAAAGGACCTTAGAGATCACCTAGTTCCAACCCCTCTGCCATGGGCAGGGACACCTTCCACCAGACCAGGTTGCTCCAAGACCCATCCAACCCGGCCTTGAACCCTTCCAGGGAGGGGGCAGCCACAGCTTCTCTGGGCAACCTGTGCCAGGGTCTCACCGTCCTCATCATAAAAAATATCTTCCTTATGTCCAAGCTAAACTTACCCTCTTTCAGTTTAAAACCATTGTCCCTTTTTCTGACAGTATAGGCCTTGGTAAAAAGTGTCTCTCTACCTTTCTTATAAGTCCCCTTTATAATACTGAAAGGCTGCAATAAGGTCTCTCCAGAGCCTTCTCTTCTTCAGGCTGAACAACCCCAACTCTCTCAGCCTTTCTTCATAGGAGAGGTGTTCCAGCCCTCTGACCATTTCTGTGGCCCTCCTCTGGACTCACTCTATCAAGTCCATGTCTGTCTTGTACTGGGGATCCCAGAACTGCGTGCAGTACTCTAGGTTGAGTCTCATGAGAGTGGAGTAGAGGAGGAGACCCACCTCCCTCTACCTGTTTGCCAGAGCTTTCCTTTGTGTTCCTTTTCCTTTGTCTGTGCCTCTGCATAAAGACTTAATAAGCTATAACTGGAGGAGGTGTTTCATGCACCCTTTTTGAGACAAGTATGTTCTACCTAAAGGCCCATTCCCTACAGTTCTGCTTTTTTCAATGATGTAAGATTTAACCAGGTGTATTGCAGTGTTGATCCACAGCAACATTTAACATCATGTTTTCTTTGGCTTTACCTGGTTCTTTGAGTCTTTCATATGCAAGCAAGTTAAGTGTTCTTGGTGCACAGATGTGGCTGGAGAATCACAGGTTTGCTAGCACAAGTTCTTTCTTGGCATAGCTATGTCACTGATGTACATCGGGCTTGATATTTACTTACCCTGTACCCTGGTGAGAGATACTTCTCTCTGTCCTCTGGGGTTATGGCTTTGCTGCTAGCTGCAGATGTGTCCTGAGCTTTCAAGTGTTATTTGTTCCCCCTACTGTGTCCAGTTGTGTTTTTCAGTGATGTCATCATTGGCTGCTCCACCTCATGGAGCTGACTGTTGTCCATTATGTTCTGTTCTTTTTTTCAGGACTGAGGGCAAGCAGGCAACAAGAATTCAGAACAACAGTAAAGTACAATTTGAAATTGATTTGATAATGCTCTTAACTCCATTCATTTTGATTTATTCTCCAGACCATTATTGGCCTAGCTGTGAGTTTTTGTCACAGCAAAGTAGCAACCATTGAAGGAATAAAAGAGCAGCCCATTTGGGTCCTCTGCCTGCTACTGGTTGGTGCAGGATTATGCTGCTTAAAAACTCTACTATAAAAACAAACTCAACAAAAATAGTAAAAAATTAATCAAAGCTCCATACAAGTTCTTCACTGGGGCCACTAACAGGTTGAAACTCATAACAGGTAACTCAGAGCAAGACCCTTGCATATTTCTAGGGATGTTCTCATTTTGTTTTATGTCAGTATTTCAGTCTGTGCTTCATATAGCGAAACACCAATCAGCTTTGATGAGACCTTTTACTATTTGCTCGTGGACTTTTGCATTGTCTTCAACACTAAGAAGCAGCTACGCCCTGGTCATCTCAGTACACCAGTTCTTTAACTGGTGACAACAGTATACTTTGAGAAGTCAATTTTGTTTATTTTCAAGTGAGTAAATTCACCCAGATGACTTTTTAACTATTTGTTTTTGTCATAGCACATCAAAATATAATCCTAACACTTTAGGGAATTCAGCTGTGTAATGTCATGTCACATCAAAGAGCAAATACAGCTATCTTTTTTGATTGTTTACACCAATACCCTTTTGTAAAAGGCATTAGTTCTCATTAGTTCAAAATTCTGGTTGTAGTATAAGGGCTTGGAAAATCTGGATGAACCGATCTATTCTTGGAGGAAATGCTGAGGTAATTAAT